TTCTGTTTCTGATTTAATACGACTTCTGTTTCCGTACCATTCTGTTCTGATATGATCTGAATTTCTGATTTCTGTATGATTCTGACTCTGGTGAATTAAATCTGTTCCGGTTTGATCTGATCTGTACGACTCTGATTTCTGTCTGATGAGTTTGGTTTTGGATTCTGAGAATTTTGATTGGAGGTTTGTTGCTTTGCTGAGCTGTTGAGCTCACTCTTGTTTTCTGGTGGTTTTCAGGTTCTGGGAAAGGGAAGGAAGTCCAGGAGTAGATTTCTGAGTTCTGATCAGTATAGGTATTTGTTTGTACCTTTTGATTTTTGTACAGTCATGGCTTTTCTGTTCTGTCTTTCTTTCTGTTCAAAAGCCATGTACTGTATCTGTAGATGATTGTTTTGAGGAAAATGAAAATATAGATGTTTTGTTCCGCTGTGTTTGATGATTCATAGTGGCTCTGTGTTTGTGTGTCTGTTGAGTTTAATTATTTGGAAGATTCAGTTCAGTAACCAAATTCCAAAGCCAGATCCTGGATAAGAAGGTTTTGTCGCGGTCCGGCTCGGGCGGGATCCGTCCCCGTCGGGTCGGGTCGTGACATTATGTTTGAAAACCGTTTTGTAATCTAAATTGTGGTTCGAACCTTCCAACAACACTTCTAACCCTTGATTTGGACCGGTTTGTGCTCGAATTGGGTTGGATTCAGTGTCGTTTGGGTTCGTATTCTCGAGATGCTCAGTTTGACTATAAGTTTGCTGAAATCGGAGTTTGGATGGTCCCAATTTTAATTTCGGAAGTTTCCAACTTAATTTTGCATCGAGATTCGTGTCCGATCAAGATAATTTTTTTATGACATATCAGTTACAATTATATATTTTCTTATTGTGGTGTAAATCTTGATCATTGTGTGATTTTAGTTGACTTCAAATTTCTTACAAAAATTTCATTTGGGTGATCTTTAAATTATCATTTGGGCAAATTTATGGACTTTTTTAAATTTTCATATTTTCATAGTCATAATTAAAAGTTTATGAACTATAATTATTGATTCATCTGAATGATTTTGCACACCACATGTTGGATTTGCATTGAAAAAACACAGACACAAAGAATTCAGGCACTAAAAGTGCTTTGAACACCTACAGAGCAAAACTATCATTTTTTACTTCGAGGATTTTCAGCATCTTGACAACATACTATGTTTTCAGTGTGAAATATGTAATGAAACATGTCAGTTCGGCATTTTGTCGAGCTACCATTAAGTCATTCTAAAAGCAGCACCAAAACCAAGAACACCAAATAGGGTAATGAATTTTGTACCTTAAGAAACTTGCCAATATATGGTAATGTAGTGGAGAAGACAGACAAGCAGAGACCCAAAGCCTCCGACCTCTGTAGCGAAAAAAAACAAAAGCAAAAGCAAGTAAAAAAAGTTGGTAAAGAGGTATCAATTCGAATGGGATTCGAAGTACTCAGGTCAAGATAGTACAAGCTGAGCTGGGGCGGGTGAAGACGATATAAAATGATTTAAAAGAATGAGAGATCCAAAGGCCACACCAATCCATCTGGGAAGGTAGGACTCGTCCAACCCCGGTATCCCTGAAACCAAAAAAGGCAAAAGACCGGTTTTTCTTCAGAAATCTAAGAAGTAAGGGAATGCATTAAGCTTAATAGAACTTGCCGAGGGTGAAACGAAGGACGGAGAGCCTAAGCTGCTGGTCTCCCTGCAGGTTACGCTCTTGGACGGCAAAGACAGAGAAGCGACGGCAATGGACTCGGGTTCCGCCACGGTGGAGCAGAGAGCTTCTCCAGAAGAGTGTTGTGGGTTCAAAAAGATGACTGTTTGAGGAGACGCGAGCCGGTGAAGGCACCGAGCCTGTAAGAGCTTGGTGACAACTGCACAGCATGCTCTCTCTCTCAGTTCGCTAGCTCGCCAGGCGTCGGAGCTTGGTGACACAGTGCTGTACTATTGTGGATTATCATAAAGAAATTTATAACGGCCAATGGGCAAAAAACAGTATTTTTTTAATTTTATGTTATTTAATATTATTTTTATTGTCACCGTAAAAAAAAAATTTTCCCTAAACCGTAAAATTTGAGAGTTATAGCTGTTATTGTCAAAAACAATAAAAATTTTCTTTTGATTAGGGGTTGTATATTTTGCTGAAAAATGATCAGAGTAAAAGGAATATATTTTGAAATAATTATAAATTATAAAAAATATTTATGATTTGTTATATTGAGTATTCTATAAATACATGATCGTGGTTGGGCGGCCCGACGACCCGACGACCCGATCTAATGAAATTATAACATTATCACGTGTTTTTCAATTTACCATGCGGCCTGAGGAACCAACCAGATCCAAACGCAAAATATAAGTTTTAATGAAAAAAAAGTTGCCAATATCTAGGGTTTAAGATTTTGGCCGATTATTTCCGTCACTTGAGATGAGATTTATCCAGAAGAGAGCTAAGAAAGAAAAGATAAAAAGAGGCTATGAAGATGAAACTGATTTGGAGGACATCAAATTCTCCAAGGAGATGGAAGACATTACACAAAACGTCTAGGATGATTTATTATAGCGAACAATGAGAGATAAGTCAGAGATATTATTGATAAATTTTAAACTCCGAAGAGGTTTTCCTATTTTCTTTTGAAAAATTAAAGTTTTTAAGTTTAATTGTTGTGCACAAGCTTAGATGCAAGTTTGGATTCTATGTACAAGTTCATATAAAAACATAATTTATTGTGTATTATTACTACGTAATTTTGCTTTGTATTATTATTGCGTACTTTTGCTGTGTATTATTATTGTGTACCGCTGCAACTTTGTGTACTCCCATGCTTATATCAGTATGATTCAATATGTTTCTTTTATGCACATGATATTTATAATTGTGAGAATGAACATATGATTTTGTATTGTTATTATGCTCATAATGTTGGTTTTAGTATTCACAAAGAAGATCGCAGTTACTGGCCTAATTCGAGAAAAATAAGATCCAAGGACTTTGTTTGTTTGAAAGTTGGCTTTAAGAAGGGTTTTGACTTAAATTCTCAATCAAAATATATAAAATTAATTCATAGTTCATATGATTTTTAGTTGGGTCATTTATTGACACCCCTACTCAAACATATAGAAGGTTAGTATTCATATTATTAATTTTTAAATGTTATTATCAATCAACGATTATTATTGTAATAATTCAAATATTTGAAAAAAAATAAAAAATATCTAAAGTAGACTGCTTTAACGCTGATCTGATGAGCGCTAGGTCATGAAATATATATATATATATATATATATATATATATTCCTGCCTCCCCTCATCAATTTTAAGAGTGTTGTGGGTTCAAAAAGATGACTGTTTGAGGAGACGCGGGCCGGTGAAGGCAACGAGCCTGTAAGAGCTCGGTGACAACTGCACAGCATGCTCTCTCTCTCTCTCAGTTCGCTAGCTCGCCAGACGTCGGAGCTTAGTGACACAGTGCTGCACTGTTGTGGATTATCATAAAGAAAATTCTTATGACGGCCAATGGGTTTTAATTTTATGTTATTGAATATTATTTTTATTGTCACCGTAAAAAAAAAAAAAATCCCTAAACCGCAAAATTTGAGAGTTATAGCTGTTCTTGTCAAAAACGATAAAAATTTTCTTTTGAGTAGGGGTTGTATATTTTGCTGAAAAATGATCAGAGTAAAAGGAATATATTTTGTAATAATTATAAATTATAAAAAATATTTATGATTTGTTATATTGAGTATTCTTTAAATACATGATATTACTTTTCGTTATTTTATTTTGAGATATGATACATCATCATGAAAAAAATCTTGATTGGACACGAATCTCGAGGCAAAAATCAGGAACTTCAAAATTTAAATTCAGGAGCATCTGAGCTCCGATTTAAGCGAGTTTACAGTCAAACTGAGCGTCTCGAAAATACGAACTCAATGACACCAAATTCGACCCAATCTGATCCCAAATGGGTCTGAATCAAGGACCGAAGCGCTGTTGGAAGGTTTGAATCACAATTTGAGTTATGAAACGGTCCCCGGTTTTAACGAGCTTATACTCGAATCGAACGGTTCGACGAGACGAATCCAACGAGCCAAAGATCTCCGAATTCCGACATCACTAAGGCCTTCAAATGTCCAACGAACGGTGCACGATCGAAGGGTTCAACATCAACCGTCCATTCGACCACTCCCTATTCGCCTCTGATCTCACACATATTTACAAGTCATGCCACTCAAAAAAAAACTATAAATATAGCCCTTGTTCTTCACAAGAGGACTCAAGTGAGAGGAGAGAGAAGAAGAGAAGAGAAAAAAGGGAAAGGGAGAATCATCTCCTCCTCGACCACCGCGGAGTTCTTTCCGCTGCCTGAATACGCCAGAACTCTGCCGGATTTTCGGGAAACGCCTGAATTCTGCAGAATTTTATAGATTTGCTTCAAGTTAGAAGAAACGGATTGTAATCTGATCGTCCTGACTTGTGAAACGAATCAGCTTCTTGTAATTTACAAAACGCTAGTGGAACTTTTCAGCTGGGCGTGGCCCAATGGTTTTTTCCCTCTTTCGGGTTTTCCATGTAAAAATCATTCTAGCCCACAACAAGATAAAACTAATTTTGTGAATAATTTAACAATGATCGTGGTTGGGCAGTCCGACGACCCAACGACCAACCCACTGAAATTATAATATTATCACGTGTTTTTCAATTTACGGTGCGGCCTGACGTACCAATCAAATCCATACGTATAATTTAAGTTTTATTGTAAAAAAGTTGCCAATATCTAGGGTTTAAGATTTTGGCAGATTATTTTCGTTACTTAAGACAAGATTTACCCTCAGAAGAAAGCTGAGAAAGAAAAGAGAAAAAGAGGCTATGAAGATGGAAACTGATTTGGAGGACATCAAATTCTTCAAAGAGATGGAAGACATTACACAAAACGTTTAGGAAGACTTATTATAGCGAACAATGAGAGATAAGTCAGAGATATTATCAGTAAATTTTAATCTCCGAAGAGGTTTTCCTATTTTCTTTTGAAATTTTAAAGTTTTTAAGTTTAATTGTTGTGTACAAGTTTGGATTCTATGTACAAGTTCTGATAAAAACATAATTTATTGTGTATTATTATTGCGTACTTTTGCTGTGTATTATTATTGTGTACCGCTGCAACTTTGTGTACTCCCATGCTTATATTAGCATGATTCAATTTATTTCTTTTTTGCACATGATATTTATAATTGTGCGAAGGAAATATATGATATGTATTGTCATTATGCTCATAATGTTGATTTTAGTATTCGCAAAGAACATTTCAGTTACTGGCCTAATTCGAGAAAAATAAGATCCAATGACTTTGTTTGTTTGAAAGTTGGCTTTAAGAAGGGTTTTGACTTAAATTATCAATCAAAATATATAAAATTAAATCAGAGTTCAAATGGTTTTTTAGTTGGGTCATTTAGTGACACCCCTACTCAAAAAAATTGAAGGTTAGTATTCATATTATTAATTTTTAAATGTTATCATCAATCAATGATTATTATTATAATAATTCAAATATTTTAAATAAATATATTTGAAAAAAAAATTTCTAAAGTTGAGTGCTTTTGACACTGATCTGATGAGCGCTAGGTCATGAATATATATATATACATGAAAGAAAGTTCTTTGGATCATTTTTGTCAGTCATTTCTCTCACTTGGTTACTTGGCTAGGAATAAATCAAAAAAGAGGAAGAAGAGAGAGGAGAAAGAAAGTTCTTTGGATCATTTTTGCCAGTCATTTCTATTATAACTTTTAATATATTCGTTATAAGTGACTAATCTCTTACTTATATTTTCGATGATTTTGATTTCTACGAATTTTATCTCTTAAATATGTCAAAAATGTATTATCTCATGATTTCATATGCTTTCACCATACAAATTTGAATATCAAGAATACACTACTTGTACATTCGTAGACTTAGTAATGCCATTTGGATAAATATCAATCAACTTATTGCTTGTAGTTATCCCCTCAAATGTAAATTGACTAAACACCAACCCACTTATAAGGGCAAATTCTCTAATTTAAATATAATATTCTTATCTATTGTGTTGAGCATAATAGAGTATCCATTATTCATTTCACAATCAAACATCCTCATTAAAAGTTGATGAAATAAAACCTAAAGAACTATAGCTTATGAGCATAAAAAATAAGCATGTAGGGAAATTCCTCATCCTTTTATATAAAAGATCAAAACATACAAATCGAGTCATAATTATATATATTACACGCTACGCTCTAAAAGTAGACTGAAACAATGTAATGCCCCTATAAATGTTTAATTAAGTGAAACATCTACTTATATATAAAAGTAACTCAAATGAATGAATTTCATACATGAAAATAAAAATAAAGAATATAACATCATTCAAACACAATTTCAATCCTCGTTGCACCTTATTCAAACCATATTCGAATCTACTTAGTAGTTTTTTTTTTAGAATATTTGTTTTATAGCTAATGGCCAAAACCCAGGTTTGAACATTGTTCAAATATAATTTTTATGTTTGAAACCTAAGGTTTGAGCAAGATTAAAAAACTATAATATATGGCTTAAACTTAGTAAGAACCTCTCCACATCTTTTGAAGTTCATTTTGAAACTTAGGGTTTTAACCAAATATTTGAACCCTAGGCTTCAAACCCATCTCCTTCCTTCTCTTTTCTAATGTTCCTTCTATTTTCTAATGTAACAAAGGACGGGATCAGTATGGCAGAGAAGATAATTCCTGAAAAAAGTTTTACTAAAATAAAGTTTGACGTACAATTTACATCTACAGAAGGGAAAATTCCTTATAATTACATTATAAGGGTTAGTACTTTCTTCTTTTAAATTTATTTATTTGTCATACATAACTGTTGAAAATTATTAAAAGATATAATTGATTAGGATCATAAAAATTCTTAAATATTATTACAATTCAAATAATAAATTTGAAGCGCACAAAATTGACTTAATTGATTATAATTTTTTTATTCCAAAGATTATTCAACGTATAAAATGGTTGTATGAAAATAAATTAATTAATATCAATTTATTGTTCATGTAATAACAATTCCACTAATATTTAATTCATAATTATAATATTAAAATTTTGATAAATTATTTAAGTTTAACATAAAAAAAAAACCCTAAACACTTCAAGGAATATATTGCCAAAATAAGCTTTCATATCAATTTATTGTTTTGCCCAATGCACAAAAACTCATCATTAGAGGTCACTATTGATGTTGTTTGAAATTTTCAGCATCCCCCTTTTCAATTTGTGTTATTTTTAAGGGGATTGACAAACATAACATATAAACTTATTCTACTTATGTATTTAATAGATAAAATTTACTATTTCTTCACATAACATTTAAGGTTTTGAATTATAATAAAATTACCATATAACCATTAACCTTGTCAAATCGTCTAATTTGTGCGTCACTAGTTTCATCAATGCCTTCCTCAATGAGATCTAGATGCTCTTAGCAAGGTCACATTGTGACTTCTCCACATATTCATCGTTGTCAACCTTCACGCTAGTTCCATTATTAACAAGTTCTCATCTGTTCACTATAGAAAAATCACTCATTACCGACGGAATTTTCTGACGGTTTTCCGATGAAATGCAATGAGATAGTTTTTCCAGTGGAATTTTCCGTGGGAATTAGTTCGGTTGGAATTTCTCGGTGGCTTTTCCAGAGGATTTGTTTCCGGCGGATTTCTAGCGGCTTTTTCAACGGATTTTAAATAAATTAACTAAAATGATTAAAAATAACTATTTAAATGATTTTAAAAAAGATATTAACTAATTTAAATTAACTATTTTCCTAATTTAACTAAAATAATTAACATTTAATATTATTATTTAAATATTTATTTATTTTACACTTCTTCGTCATCTAGGATTTCAAGGGTTTCAAATTTTTGAATAGCATGATTAGCGATGTTAACAAAGGCAGTTGGTATAGTTAATAATAAATTTCATATGTTAAAATATCTAAATAGAATAATTTATGCGTAATATTTGTAAACCCCACTTATTATTTAATTTAAGAGATAACTACAAGTCGCTTATCTGATTGTGTGCTGGATCTTCGTACAACGCTAAGACGTTAAACTATATATTTTTCTACCGCCGCGAATATTCCAGGACGCAACATTAATCATTTAATATATTACAAATAATCAAATTTGATTCTATCAAATCCTTAAAAAATAAAAATATTCATGAAATATTTTAGTACAATAAATCATAATCATTAAAAAAAAGATTATTTGGTCATAAATCTCATAATATTTTATATTAGAGGCCTATTTCTTGTCATCTAACAAAAAATTTTATATTGCTCCCCATTATTATTTTATTTACCAATATTGCATCACATTATTAGAATAGATTGGTGTGTGGGCCATAATCCTGAATTAATTGAAGCGAATGCACGTATAATATAATGACATTTTAAATAATTATTTTTTAATAAATACAAAAGGCTAAATTTATTAAAAAATATATAGGCTAAAATATAAAAATCAGTATCAGGTGAATAAATCAAATATATGGTAAAATATCTGCGAGTTATAAGAGAAGAGAGTGACTCAATATAACGCCCAAAGCTCGCTGCTTTAAGCCCTCTCACCGGTTCCGTTTCCGTTTACGCTGATCTTCTCGTTTTTCGCTGGTTCTTGATCGGTAAATCGTTTCCTTTTTCTGCCGATCTTCGATCTACTGTATAATTGGTTAATTGGTAAGATTTTGAATTAGATCTTCTTTCTTTTCTGCGAAATTGGTGGATTTTAACGTGATTAGGGTTTGGTCTGCGAAGTTGGTGGGCACCTGCAGCTTATTTTCGTCGTCCGTTACATGACATTGTTACGTGTAAGTTTTGGAATTTGATGTTTACGATTCTCTTTTGAGCTGATGTTTTAGTTTTTTTTCGGTTCAAATTCTTGTTGAAAGTTACCTCTTTTCGTGTATCTTGTTGTCAGAAAGGGTTTGCTTATCGTTCTCATGTCTTAATGTTTGGGCCTGTTAATTTGTGGTATTCCTTGTGGCAGGGAAGAGCGGTGTTGGAATGAAAAGGGAGTTTTTTGGTTGCTGTTGATCGAGTGGGTCTTGCCCCACATATGTTTTAGGCTTTGCAAGGTGCGAGGAAAGCTCCTTCTTTGGTCCGGGCTTGGTGCTGCTGGCATTTTCTTTCAAGGTGTTGGGAAGAACCTGGCACACCCACGCAGCTAACTCCATGTCAGGGACTGCACGCTCTGGGCTTGGTAATGCTGTTTCTGGTGACATGAACCATGGAGTTCTGAATAGTGCTGCAAACTCCTCTGGGCCCAGCATGGGCGCGAGCTCTCAGGTCACCGATGCCAATTCCTCTTTTTCAGGTGGACCGCAGCTTCCGAGCAGCTCCAGCATCAATGATGAGTCCTATATGCATCTTCCAGCTTCACCAATGTCCTCATCCAACAACATTTCGGGCTCTTCAGTCATGGATGGTTCATCAATTATTCAGCTGAGTCCCCAAAATGAGCAGATTCAGAAACACGGTGCTTTGAGTCCTACCTATCAGTCAATGGTCCAGGATGCTGGAATGATGCCTGTTCAGAAGAGACCGCGGCTGGACATGAGGGTGGGAGATGTTAGTCAACAGCAGGTTATGCAACAGATGTTACAGAGGCATCAGAACCTTCAACTTCAGGCCCTTGTACAGCCTCAGAGGCTTGCTCATCTCCAGCAGCAGCAATTGATACAGTCGTTGCCGCAATTGCAGAGAATACATATGCATCAGCAGCCCCAAATGCCTATGCAAAACCCCCTCCATTTAATATCTCCAATGAGGCTCCCGTTTGAAAGTGGCTTGTGTGCTCGGCGACTTATGCAATATATGTATCACCAGAGTCATAGACCGGCTGTGAGTTCTGAACCTTTCTGCTCTATTTCATATACAACAATTCGTACAGGATTTGTTCTGATTAGAGCAATTTGATACTAACTGCAGGACAATTCTATATTGTACTGGAGAAAATTTGTGGCAGAATACTTTGCACCTAGAGCAAAGAAAAGATGGTGTTTCTCGTTGTACAATAATGGTGGAAATCATGCCTTTGGTGCTTTTCCCCAAGCTGCTATGGTTAGTACTGCCTGCTATTACATTCAGTATATTGTAATTCCTACACTACCATTATTGTTCTGCAGACTTCTTGTGCATGGAATTTTATAGTTACACATTGTATGCTTGCAAAACCAAAAATTCATAAATCATTTCCTCGACTCTATTACTATTTGTGCATTATCTTTGTTTCTGTTGGCTGATTCATACTTATGATTTTATCCTGCATGTACAGGATTCATGGCAATGTGGTATCTGTGGCTCTAAATCTGGAAAAGGTTTTGGTAAGTACTTTGCATTGTTTAGGGTAAATACTTGCTTTATCTGTTGGTTTTATTGCATACATATTCTAAAATATTTTGAGTGTGCCAATAGACTTTTCCTTTATCTGCATTTTTCTTAAGTTTGTTTGGATAAAAAATCATGCTTTACAGTTGCTAGTTTGAAGAAAAAATAAATGACACACCAATATAAATGAAAAATCTTATTATCAAGATTCACATTTTACATCCGGTGATCAGTGCATTTAAATTCATTGAAATTTCATCAGCATTGTTATCAGAATAGGAGGAGAGAAAGAGATTAAAATTGATATTTGTTTTCATTGCATTATGTGCTGCTATAAATATTTTTTCCTGGAATTTATTGATCACCACGTGCCTTCCTCCAAAGGTATTTCCAGTTGCACATGTTATCTCTACTTTCTTTTATGCAAGATATGATACCTTATCTGTTTTAATTTTCAACCGTTTATAGCGCATGTTATATCTGATGTGACATGCTTCATCATTATCATGGGCCCTAATCTCAACCCTTTTTGGCTCACCTTTATGAATCCTGCTCCATTGATACATGTTTTTTTGGAACAGTTAAAATGAGAAGAGTGTCATACATTTTATTTGAGAAGTTTTTATTGGTTCATCAAAAGATGATGTGGCTTAACTTTAAATGAAGAATGACAACAACAACAAACAACAAAATTAAGCCTTTATCCCACTACGTGGGGTTGGCTACATGAATCCTTTTTCTCCATTGTGTTATGTTAAGAGTCAAATTCCCATTTAAATCTAATAAAAAAGGCAATTTCTAAAATTTTCTAAGCCTTTTTATGTTTACCTCTACCTTTCTTAACATGTGCCAAATATAATATATCTGCTCTCCTAACCTGGTTATTGGAAGGCCAACATTTTATGTGACCAAACCATTTAAGACGACTCTCTCTAATCTTATCTGCCACTAGAGCTACTCCAACCTTTTCACGTATTTGCTCACTTCACATTCTGTCTCTAAGAGTAAAGCCACTCATCTATATGAGCATTCTCATCTCTGCACTCTTAACTTAATTTTATGATCCTCTTTTAATGGCCAACATTTTGCGCCATAAAATATTGCATGTCTCACCACCATCTTATAGAATTTTTCCTTAAGTTTGCATTATACTTTTCTATCACACCACAGGCTTGATGCATTCTTCCACTTCAATCATCCAACTTGAATTCTACTAATAATATCCCCATCTATTTCACCATCACTTTGAAAAATAGATCCGAGATATCTAAAACGTGTACTCTTATTAATGACTTGATCTCTCAAAGCTACAACACCCCCACTAGATTTATTACTGCTAAAATTGCACTTAATGTATTCGGTTTTAGATCTATTCAAACAAAAACCTTTAGACTTTAAGGTTGACCTCCATAAATCAAGTTTACTTTTAGGTCTTATCACCAAAATAAATATCATCAACAAAAAAACATACACCAGGTACATCCTTTTACAAATGTCTAGTAAGAGCATCCATGACTAAAGCAAAAAGATATGGGCTTAAAGCTGATCCTTAATGTAGTTCAATTGAAATAAGAAAATATTGGTCAAATCATATTGTGTTTGAACATAAGTAACAACTCCTACATACATACCTTTAATGATTTGAGTATAAGCATTATTAACCCCTTTCTTTTTTAAAACTCTCCAAAGCTTTTCTCTTGGAACTTTATAGACGCTTTTTCTAAATCAATAAATATCATATTGCAGATCTTCCTTATGTTCTCTATATTTCTCCATCAAACCTCTCAATAAATGTAAAACTTCCATAGTAGACCTACCTAGCATGAACCCAAATTGATTTTGAGAAGCATTAATGTCACATTGTAACTTATGCTTAGTAAATCTCTTCCAAAGTTTTAAAGTATGACACATTAACTTTATTCCTCCATAATTTACACACTCTTGTGCATCACCTTTATCTTAAAAAATAGGAATCAACACACTCCTCTACTCATCTGATAGCTTTATAGTCTTCAAAATAATATTGAAAGTTTCGTAAGCCAAAAAATTTATTCATCTCTTAATCAATGTTTAAAATTGCTTATTCGGGTATTGAGGCGTTTTTCATTCGTGAGGCGAGGCGTAAGCCTCAAGGCGTTTTGAGGCGTAAGCCTCAAAATCAAAAGATTGCATAAATATAAAATGATAAATTTTTTATATACTCATGAGTGAATAATATAAAACATAAAAAAGCATAAGATATTAAGTGAAATCAAAATATCACAATAATAAGATAACATGAAATATAGTTCAACTCAAAATTCTATCTTTTCGAAATCTCAGTATTCTTTTCATTAACATATAATTCCAATTTCAAGAAATAAGTAGCAATGACATATCACATAAGAACTCATAAATCATCAACACTATCATCACTAAAGGGTTCTTCATTTGAATCATCATTATGATGAATTGCTCTCCCCCCTTCATCCTCTCCTATAGAGTCCAATGTCGGGCATTTACTTTAAAATTTACGTAAGCTTTAATATATATACAGCGTGAGGCGTAAGCCTCATGCCAGTGAGGCGAGGCAGGCCTCAACCAAGTTGAGGCGCAAGCTTCATAAAAAAAACTCGAGGCGTAAGCATCGAGGCGTTTTTACTAGAATTGCGCAAAGGCGGACCTCAAGACGAGCCTCATATTGCGCAATTTTAAAACATGCTCTTAATCATTTCCACACCTCTATTGGAATATCATCAGGTCCAACCTCTTTTTCTCACTTTATTTTCTTTAATATCTCTCTAAATTTGATTTTACTGATGTGATGATAAAAACAAAAATCTATATTTTCATTTAGGGTGCTAAGGTCACTAAAGTCAATCGTATTATCACAATTTTCATTGAAAAGCATATCAAAATATCTCATTCACCTTTGTTGAATATCCTCTACTAATAAAATACTTTTTGATCTTCATCATTAATGTACTTTACTTGAATTAAATCCTTACTTATTCAATTCAATTTCTTTGCTTGACTAACTTATACATATATCTTTTGCCCTCTTTAATATTTAATCTATTATATAAATAATTAAAAGCTAAATTCTTTGCATCACTTATTACTTTCGAAGGCTCCTTACGTGCATCTTTATATCTTTTTTCAAATTTTTGAGTTTTTATATCCAAAGCAATTTTTATAACAAAATTTTATATTTTTAAATTTTGCTTGCATATTTTAATTCAACAATCAATTATTTTTATTATTAAGTGTTTTTCCTTTTGATACTTCAAGCACATCTTTTACAATATTCTTAATTTCACGAACTATTTTTTTCCCATATAACATTAACTTTTTCATATATAGTTAGAATTTTAAGATCTTGAATCTTATTCTCAAAAATATTTTTGTTAGTATTCTTTAGATGTCCACATCTAACCCTAGGATAACATTTTATTTTATTTTTCATATTCCGCCTTTTCATCTTAAAGTTTAAAATTAATAAGTGATAATGGACTCATAAATTTTCACTTGGAATAACTTTATAATTTTTATAATCTAAACAAATTTTTTTCTTATAATAAAATAATCAATTTGGGTTTTACTATATTTATTTTTATAAGTGATGAGATGCTCATATCTTTTTTTAAATAAGATATTAACAATTATAAAATTATAAACTAGAGAAAGTCTAATATGGTCCTACCACCTTCATTATTCGCTCCAAATCCATAACCTGTTATGTGTGGAATCTGATTGTGTTGATCAATTGGGTTGTTCTATTGTCTTAGACCTCAAGTTTGTCATTCTTGATGGGGGTGCGAGGGGTTTACCCCTTGCATTTTTTTCGTACAACCCCCTGGTGCTGCGTACCTGAGCACGCCAGCACTAAGTTCCCGAGCGTCCCAACGATGAATGACTGAGAGTGGAGCACCGCAGCTGTCTAGATACTACACCGCACTACCGCAGTGGATCAAGACAGTGGTTCAAGCACTGCACGCTGCAAGACAGACTTGACGATTTTTTTCTCATTTTTTTGAAGGGTTGCGTCCCTTAGGATTATTGAACTTGACTTTCTCTTGTATTTCTGCATGTATGACATAGAGAACAGTGCATGTGAGAAGAAAAATAAGGAGAGAGTGAGAGAGAAGAGATATTTGTAATTATTTCTCCCCATTTTTATAGTGGATTTTTTGTTGTTGTGTGGCTTCATGGTTTTTTCCCTTAATTTGGGTTTTACCACTTTAAATTCAGGTGTCCTTTACTTTTCGCTTCTTTTAATTTTTTGTTTGTTTCATCGTTGTTGTGTTTACTCCTCATCCCCAACATAACCACCATGAATGTTTTTAAAATCTTCAACATGTCAATTTAAATATCCTCTACTAAAAACTCTTTTTTCAAGAGGTATTTTTTGTATTAATTCTTCTAAAACATTATAAAATTTTAATTTTGAACACATATTCAAACCTATTTGAGGGACACGAACACTTATAATATTAATAATCTTAACATTAACAATAATATTTAAAATTATAATTCTATTGCTAATTCTATTAATTTTTTCTATATTATTCTTCAAACTCTTATCTATAATCAATCTTACATCATTTCTAATACGACTCCTATCTGAATGCCATAGTTTAAACCATAAATTATCAATGTCTTTAACCTTCTCTCCATCTCATTTTGTTTTCTAAATTTATGAAATATTTATTTTTTATGAATCATAATATCTATTAATTCTATTAATTTATTTGTAAGAGAAATTTTATTTCAAGTTCTTATCATAATTCTAGTTTCATGGACTACTTTTCTTTACTCACATTCGTCTGTGATTTAGACCGAAGCACTTGTTTATTTAACTTTGTATCTAGGCGTTGCTGCGACCCTTGCACACTTCTTATTGTATTTAGACCATACAACACATCACTTACAAGGAACGCTTTAGTATTTTAACACAATATATTAAATGATTCATGTCATGATTATTCGATAAGTTTTACGCTTGCTGTCGACTATC